GGGGCCATGCCAGACTGGCTGTCCTGGGTTCTATAAGAAAGCAGGCTGAACAAGCCATGATGAGCAAGCCAGTAAGCAGCTCTTTTCCATGGCCTCTGCATCAGCTCCTGCCTCCAGGTTCCTGCCCTGCTTGAGACCCTGTCCTGACTTCCTCAAGTGATGAACGGTGACACGGAAGTGTCAGCCTCTCCAACTTGCTTTTGGTCATGGTGTTTCATCACAGCAACAGTAACCCTACCCATGAGAAAGAGGTACCAAGGCTATGGAGTATATGGCCATGTTGTTTTTCAGAGGATTGTGGGAAGACTTGGGGACTCTGGGCTAGGAAATCCATTGAGTGTTCAAAGCTGGGGGCTCTGTCCCGAGGAAGCCTGGACTCTTAAGAGCGCTGAGAGAACTTGGCGGGGGGGGGGGGGGGGTGCCTGGCTCCTGAACCTGCAGAGGGAAGTGAGAGCCACCTAAAGACTCTATCAGGGTCAGCTGGAATAGAGAAATTAGCAGTGACTGAGACGAGACTAGCATCACTGAGGGTAAGGAGACCAGGCTGGCCTCAAACTCACAGAAATTTACCTGTCTCTGCCTTTTAAGTGCTGGGACTAAAGGTGTGTGCACAGGCCTTTAATGCCAGCACTTGGGAGGCAGATGCAGGCAGATCTCTGAGAGTTTAAGGCCAGCCTGGTCTACAAATTGAGTTCTAGGACAGTTGGGACTGTTACACAGGGAAACCCTATCTCAAAAAAAAGGTGTGTACCACCATTCCCAGCTCTTTAAAGCATGCATATTCATTCACAAACGCATGTACACATGCTAAGGCAAGCATTAGAGCAGCCATTTTAACTCACGACATATTTTAAGGTGAATGGGCATGCTGTCCCCATTCTCAACAAATGGTGAAGGGCAAGTGAGAGGTAAGAGATGTAGTCTTTCCTCCACTTCCTCAAAATGTCATCCTATCTCTCTGTCTCCTAATAACCAGATCTAGAAAGACGTGACGTTCCCTTGCATTAATTCTAAAAGGGACTTGAGATTACCTAATGCTAACTACTCAGTTTAAAATAGCCAGTCTCTACTTCATTGGTTTTCGTCAGCATCTCAAGTCAAACTCTCGTGCTTACTTACTTTACTTTTTTTGAAGTAGCCTCGTTCAGGAACAGAAAATAAGGCTGCTCAGGGCTGGAGACGGCACTCAGTGATAGATTGTTCGCTTAGCTTGCCTAGGTTTCATCTCCATTACTTCACGTAAGATGGGGCTGGTGAGGTGGCTCAGCAGTTAAAGACGCTTGATAAACAATCCTGGTAACCTGAGTTCAACCCCTGGAAGCCACATAACGGTGGAAAGAGAGAAGCGATTCCACAAAGTTGTGCCTGACCTCTACGTGTGCCAAGGCACAGCTGGCGCACCCCATCATGCGGCCACACTACACCAATTCTGAGTCTGAGCCTTAGGTCTAATGATATCCCGAACAATGTGTTACCCTGGACCTCAGTTTTCTTACACTGTGTGACAAGAACATCCTGGCTATGCAATTTTCAAAGCACTCTATAGTTTCTATGATTCTGTGATTGAGAATATAAAATATAAAACAAAAATGGATATGAAGTGACAATTATACAATTGTTACAAAATTATTACAAAAGGCACTTAGCTTTCCCATCAACTAAATTCCTTCCTCAGCAACTCTCTTGAAAGGAAGTGTGCTGTGGTATAATCTTTCTGTACGCTGTGAATATATGATGCTCTCATTGGTTGATAAGAAAAGCTGCTTTGGCCTATAGCAAGGCAGAATATAGCTAGGTGGGAAAGTCAAACTAAATACAGGGAGAAAGAAGGGCAGAGTCGGGAGAGATGCAAGCCAGCCATCCAAGAAATAAGATGCCAGCAGACCAGTAAAACCCATGTATCACCCATGGCCACGTGGTGATACATAGATTAATAGAAATGGGTTAATTTAAATGTAAGAGCTAGTTAGTGATAGGCCTGAGCTATTAAAAAAAAGGAAGAAATACAGATTTACAAAAATACAGTTAATCAAAGTTATAGCCATGTTAGTTAGGTTTCCTAGATATACAAAGAAATATTTCAGATAGCTAGGTATTCTTCAAACATTTCAAAGACCTACAGAATATGGCATTTAATAACTTAGACTTTTCCTGACAGTGAGACACATCTGCTCCTAGCAGCACCAATATATTCCAGAGAAGATGATGGGTATCAAACAAACTCCATATGAAATTTGTTCTCTTTATAGCAAAAGTTAGCCATGTGGGCAAAGAAACTGCCCTTGCTTCAACTGTTAACAGTACTGTCCAAACTGGAACAGCCAGAAACAAGAAGGCAACAAACTGCTGAACTTTGCTAAGACAAGGCAGGATAGTATTTCAAAATTCCCCACTTCACAGAAAAGTCTATCAGACATGTTAGGCCTGTATGTCAAAGATGGATGCCTCAACATTGCAGAGGAACCTTGGGTGACTGTTCAGGCAGCCAGCTGTTTCTGTCATTTCTTATATTTTTGGAAGTCATTTGTTTGCATTTCCTGTTTACTCAGGTAATATTATTTCCTCCTTGGGTCTTTAATGGAGTTGAATACTAGCTAGTTATAATTATAGTTTTTCTTAATTATAAAATAAGGTAAATTAGATATAAAACTTTAAACTCACCAAAATAGGATAATTATTTTCTTTAATTTTGCCTAATACAAATAGGCTAGATATAGTAACTGTAATTCTTACTTGATAACTGTTTTATTGTCTGTAATTTCACTATGTTAAAGTTGAAACTTTTCTTTTTGATTAGACAGAAAAGGGGAAAATGCTGTGGGAAAATCCTTCTGTATGCTGTGAGTATATGTTGTTTTCATTGGTTGATAATAAAAGCTGCTTTGGCCTATAGCAAGGCAGAATATAGCTAGGTGGGAAAGCCAAACTAATACAGGGAAAAAGAAGGGCAGAGTTGGGAGAGACACAAGCCAACCTCCCAAGAAATAAGATGCCAGCAGACCAGTAATGCCATGGCCACATGGCAATACGTGAATTAATAGGAATGGTTAATTTAAATATGAGATAGTAACAAGCCTGAGCTATAGGTAAAACAGTTTATAAATCTCTGGATGATTATTTAGAAGTGGATGTGAGAACAGAGAAACCTCCATTTATAGAAGCAGCTTCCTATTATTATAGCAGGAGAAACTGTAAACTGAAACTGTCTTCAGAAATCAGTTTCCCCCTTTATGAGATGGGGAAGCAGGGCTGCCTGGCTTCTCAGCTCTATTTACTCCTAGAATGCCAGAACTGCCATTTATCAGAGGATAGTTATTACTCTAGAGGGCTTTTGGTTTTGAGATAGATAGGGTCTCAGTATGCAGGCCTGCTTGTCCTGGACAATTCATATTCACAGCAATCCACCATTCTGCTTCTGCCTCCCAAGTGCTGGAATTAAAGGCATGCACCACTACACCTGGCTCAGAGGACTTTTTTTTTTCTTTTTTTTTAAAAATATTTATTTCTTTATTATGTATACAGTATTCTGTCTGTATGTATACCTGCAGGCCAGAAGAGGGCACCAGATCTCATTACAGATGGTTGTGAGCCACCATGTGGTTGCTGGGAATTGAACTCAGGACCTTTGGAAGAGCAGGCAATGCTCTTAACCACTGAGCCATCTCTCCAGCCCGGCTCAGAGGACTTTTAAAGTTGAGTTTCTTTAGTACATTTAATTGGGAGTTCTTCCTCCCTCCCTCCCTTCCTTCATGTGTGTGCAGTGTGTGCCAGTGTCACTCCTGGAACCTGACCACCTCTCACCCCCAATGTTTGTTTATAGGCTTTTACACAGCTAGTGAGGATTTGAACTTGGCTCTTTTTGCTTTCACAGCAAGAGCTCTTATGCACTGAACCATCTTTTCAGCCCTAAATTCACCTTCTTTTTTTTTTTTTTTTTTTTTTTTTTTTTTTGATTTTTCGAGATAGGGTTTCTCTGTAGCTTTTGGTTCCTGACCTGGAACTAGCTCTTGTAGACCAGGCTGGCCTCGAACTCACAGAGATCCACCTGTCTCTGCCTCCCGAGTGCTGGGATTAAAGGCATGCGCCACCACCGCCCGGCTAAATTCACCTTCTTGAAGAATTCAGAAGGCCTACAGTTTTTTATTTGTTTGTTTTTCGAGACAGGGCTTCTCTGTGTAGCTTTGGAGCCTGTCCTGGAACTAGCTCTTGTAGACCAGGCTGCCCTCGAACTCACAAAGATACTCCTGCCTCTGCCTCCTGAGTTCTGGGATTAAAGGCATGCGCCACCACTGCCGGGCTGGGCCTATAGTTCTTTAAGAACCAATCAAATGTCTGATTTAAGGCCTGCCAGGCTTCGAAAGACAGCAGGGACTCCCAGCTGTCCAGCAGCTCACAGCACTGTGTGGTCAATCCAAATCTCCTTTCATCCTAAGTATACAATCCTCTTGTCAACCGAGACTTGTAGGGGAAAGAGAAAACATGACTCTCTTCTCACTAAGGCACAGGTATAATCCAGTGAGTGTACAAAATGAACAAAATAAAACTATCAACAATGAGTGAGGTAACCCAGACACAGAAAGACAATTATGATGTACTCACTCATAGGTGGTTTTTAAACATAAAGCAAAGAAAGCCAGCCTACAAACCACAATCCCAGAGAACTTAGACAACAATGCAGACACTAAGAGAAACTTACATAGATCTAATCTACATGGGAAGTAGAAAGTACAAAAAGACAAGATCTCCTGAGTAAATTGGGAGCCTGGGGACCTTGGGGGAGGATTGAAGTGGGGAGGGTAGAGGCAAGGAGGGGAGCAGAGAAAAATGTAGAGCTCAATAAAAATCAATTAAAAAAAACTATCAACAAAATTAGAGACACAAACAGGATAGCATGCATTCATTGCAGAGAGCTTCAGGGAACCGGGTTTTCGAGGTCAGGAGGGATCTTCACAGAGAACAGAAGCAAGTCCGAAATGAGATTTCAGATCCGGGCTGTTTACCTTCCAGGTGGTGGGGGTAGGCTCCCTGTTCACAAGGTTCCAACCCCCTGATGCCTCCGCTCTGGGCCACTCAGGAAATGCTCCAAGGATCCCATCTTGTTGGCTATTCTCCAACTGAGCCTTTCTTCCTAGTGACAAGTTTCATGGCCAAGGGGTGGGTATGATGTCACAATCAGGAGTAATCTATTAAAAGGAACAGGGAAGAAAAAAAAAGTCAGTAGGGAAATGATTGCCATTTAGCAGTAGGGGTGGGGAATGGGACGTGTGGAGACATGGTGGGCGGGGCATCCAGGTGGGCGGGGCATCCAGGTGGGCGGGGCATCCAGGTGGCAGATGAGAAACTCCTCTCAGGGCTGCAGGTTTCTGTACCACTCTACAAACGAGGGACTTGGTCTAGTAGAGTCAAACACAGCGAGTGGAGGGAAAGAAACAGCAGCAAAGGTAGAAAGCAAAGCTACTGGAGGCAAGATTTGTTTAAAAATATATAGAAAAAGAAAAAGGAGCGTTGAGTCTGTAGCTCTGGGGTCGATTGCTTGTGCGTACAAAGTCATGAACTTCATCCCAGCACCACACAAACTGGGGGAGGGGGTAGTGATGCAGGCCCATAATCTTAGTGTTCCGGAAGTAGAGGCAAGAAGATCAAAATTCAAGGGTACCTGGGGTCCTGACACACACACACACGGACTATTCCTTTACACTGTGTGAATATATGTCGCTGTGATTGGTCTGATAAAAAAGCTGACTGGCTGATGGCGAGGCAAGGTTTTCAGGGCGGAGAGAATGCTGGGGAGAAGGCAGAGTTGTAGGACACACCACGAGACGAGAGGAAGCAGGGTGGGAAGTACACCGAGGAGGTAAATGAGCCTTGGGGCAGCATCAGATGAAGAGAAAAGGGTTGTTATAAGCTGAGCTATGGCTGAGCATTTATAATTAATAGTAAGTCTCTGTGTAGTTATTTTGGAACTGGTTGATGGGGATATACATACACATTAATTTTAGAAAATTGTTTTATCTCATTTTTTTTATATATGGGGTACAGCCTCCTATGTCTGTGCATCACACTGTGCCTGGTCTGGGAACTGATCCACTGTTACTGGAGTTACAGACAGCTGTGAACTGCCTTGAAGGTTTTTGGCATTGAACCCTGGTTGTCTGAAAGAGCAGTCAGTACACTTAACCACTGAGTCATCTCTCCAGTCCCTGTATTTATACTTCTTTATTCAGCATATGAATTCTTATTTTCCCTGTACTAACCTCGAATGTTTGCAAAGTGCTTTCTCACAAATTATTTCCTGTCAAAAGAATTCTGGAGACCATGACCGGTAGGTAGCTCATGCCTGTCATCCCAGCACTCAGAAGGTGAAGTAGGAGAATTCTGAGTTCGAGGCCAGCTCCAACTACATAGCGAGCGTAGGATGCATGGCCAAACCTTGTCTCAAACAAAAACAAAAACAAAACTGCTGGCTTGAGATGCAGCAGCAGAACATTTGCACTGCCTGGCATTTACAGGGCAATGGGACCCAATCCTTAGTGCCACAGAAAAAGCCCTGAGCTGGACAAGATGGCGCATGCCTGGAAGCCAGGACTCAAGTGGGAAGGCACTGAGTTTCAAGCCAGCCTGGACAGCACAGAGACCCTGTCTCAATAAATCAAGAAGTCTATTTCTAAAGTGTGTCCAGCCGGGCAGTGGTGGCGCACGCCTTTAATCCCAGCACTCGGGAGGCAGAGGCAGGCGGATCTCTGTGAGTTCGAGACCAGCCTGGTCTACAAGAACTAGTTCCAGGACAGGCTCCAAAACCACAGAGAAACCCTGTCTCGAAAAAACCAAATAAATAAATAAATAAATAAAGTGTGTCCAAACCCAGTTTTCAATAAGAGAGAATTAGGCCAAAGCAGAAATGCTGGTTCGCACTGCAATCCTCGAACTTGGGATCTTGGGATCAAGAGCAGGAGTTCAAGGTCAGCCTGGCCTATATGAGACCCAGTCTCAAAAAAAAAAAAAAGGGGGGGGGGCTGGAGAGATGGCTCAGAGGTTAAGAGCATTGCCTGCTCTTCCAAAGGTCCTGAGTTCAATTCCCAGCAACCACATGGTGGCTCACAACCATCTGTAATGGGGTCTGGTGTCCTCTTCTGGCCTGCGGTCATACACACAGACAGAATATTGTATACATAATAAATAAATAAATATTTTTTAAAAAAAAATTAAAACTTTCAAAACGCAGCCGGGCAGTGGTGGTGCGCGCCTTTACTCCCAGCACTTGGGAGGCAGAGGCAAGACAGATCTCTTGTGAGTTTGAGATAGGCTTGGTCTACAGAGTGAGTTCCAGGACATCAGGGCTACACAGAGACACCCTGTCTTTAACAAAACAAAAACAAAACCCAAAGCATCCAGGCCCCACCTTCCATGTGGAGAACATTATTTGACAGAGACAACCAAGGATGCAGCTATAGATGCAAATTGGGAAATACTCCTGAAGGAGAAATCAGGCTTTAAAAAAGGAGAGAAGAGGGGTGGGGGCTGAGGAAACCAGTGGTACTCAAAAATCAGCTCCTACCTGTACCTAACTCCTGGGAGGCTGAGACAGGAGGATCACTGCAAATTCAAGGTCAGCAGGGGCTACAGGGTTGGACTACAGGTAGGTTGACCCTTTCTCAAATAACTGGTAAGGAGGGAAACATGGGGTGGTGTTCCAAGGAGGGCAACTTGGCAGGTTAGAGCAGCGGGGCTGGGCTGACTGGAGGCAGAGCCATGCCTACAGAGATGGAACCAAGCCCCTTCAGTGACAGACAGGAATACTAACCAAACTCCCGCTAACCATGCTTCTTGCATCATTGTGATGTGTGGATCAATAGTTCAAGGGCTATGTTGGGATGAAATAGGATAAAATTTTTTTTCATTTTATTATTATTATTGTTGGTTTTTCCAGGCAGGGTTTCTCTGTGTAGCCCTAATTGTCCTGGCACTAGCTCTGTCAATCAGGCTGGCCTCGAACTCACAGAGATCTGCCTGCCTCTGCCTCCTGTGTGCTGGGATTAAAGGCGTGTGCCACCCCCACCCAGCGATGATGACGACTTTCGTGCAGAACATACAGTCTCCATCTCCCGAATACGGAACATTTGCTCGACAGTTCAAACGCTCAACTGCAGCATGCTCGGCGTGTGTTATCCAGCGAAGAGACGAAGGTGTAGAACCTGGCCCTTTCTCTTCCCGGCGACCCAGAAGAGAGTGTGAGAGCTGAAGCTCCTCTACACTACTTGTTCCCCCGAAACACACATAACACGGCAGACGGAAAGCTTCCTTCCTTTGCACAATACCCCATTTCCCAACAATCTGGCACACGCACCTGGACCACAAAAAATGCTTCCAGGAAGAGGGATTATTGGCTATACTCAGTCTCCTAGGGTCAAATTTCACACCCAGAAACGAAAAAGCTTCCCGCAACTGGGAAAATGGGACCAGAGATTGTGGACCAAGCAGAGAGCCCGGAGAGAAAGGTCTTGGGTTATCCCAGCCATAGCTCTGCCACCCAACAACCAGACAACTTCAGATAAGCCATTGCAACCTTTTAGTTTTCAGTCTCTCCAACTGTCAAACAGAGATGACACTTGCCTTATCTTACATATTATCTCAGAAATCAAACAAGATAATGAATATAAAAGGAGATTCTAGACTGCTATTAGTTGTGGCAACAGGAAGGGACAATAAATTCACAGGGACAAGAGGAAATGTATGGCATTGTTTGTTCCTTCTTTTCAATTACTGGGAAGCAGGCCCTGCCATGGGGTCTACTGGAAACAGAGTGGTACCAATACCTTCTCTTTCCCCTCACCTTCTCTTACCGCTATTCAATCCCATTCCTTCTTGAGGAAATACTAGCAAACAGCAACACTATTATTAGCTAAAATATTGAATAAGAAGTACCTGCCAAGATTCTCACAGATCAGGCTCTGACAACAGTGGCCTTCGTGACCGCCACATTTGCTACCAGTTGAGATGAAGCTAGTTTCTTAGTAGGAAAAGTGTATGCTAATCCAAAAACACGCTCAATCCTTCTTGCTTTCGGCTCTTTCTCCTGTTCCCTGCTCTCTACCCACCAACTGTTCTGCCTCCTTGGGCTGGGGTGGGTTCCCAGGGTATAAAGTGAGGAGATGTGCAGACGGGAGAGCGGAGCTGCAAATCATTCAGGGGCAAGGATGTAAGGAATGTAAGAGTCCTCCACGGAGGGGTGGGAGGGGAGAGGAGCGGCGAAGGAATAAAAGAGAAAGACAAGGCTGCCAAAGACAAGGCATGGGAAAGAAGCCAAGCTATGGCGCTCGGAGGGCGGAGGTTTGGGTTCCGCGGTTCCTGCCAAGGCTAGCCCCCAGAACGTTCCCTTCCTCGCCTCCAGCCCCGTCAATCATTGCCATTTAAACTCCACGTTGTCCCCTAGCCCGAGCGGTCTGCTCCTCCCCGGTCCTCAGGCCAGCACAAGGCCACTCCCGCACTTCCAAGGCTTCGCTACTCCAAAGGACCTCCCCAAGCTCCAGAGCCCCCAGCTCACCACCGACTCCTCCCAGCCGAGCTAGCTCCCTTCCTCCATTTTCCGCTTCCTCTCGACCCCCGGCACCTCCGACCCAGGCGCCAATCCACTGGGACCTCGCCCCCTCCGCTCCCCTCCCCTCCCACACCCTGGGTTGGAAGCTCGCTCAGGCGCGTTACGCACCGCTCTGGACGCAGCCTGGGTTCTCCGGACGCGGGGCCAGACTGGAGCTGAGGCCACGGCGGCCGCGGGGTAGCCTGGGTGCCGGGTCTCAGCCTTTCCCGGCAGGGGAAGGGGAAGGGAAGGATGGGGAAAAGGGTTCCGACCACTCCTGGTTGTCTTGGACTAACCCTTTGCCACGCCCACTGCTGCTACGCAACGGGGCGGAAGCCCGTCACCAAACCCCGCCCCTTTGTTTAACTCGGTGGCGACCCGACGCTCCCCGCGAGCTGCCAACGCGGGACCTGGGCTAGCTAGGCCTCCTCTCGGGGCCGGAAGTTCTTCAGGACCCCGGCTGGGACTTTATAGCCATTTGGGGGGGAGGACTGTGTCCTTCAGGTGTGACATTCTGGGGCGATCCTGGGTGTACCGCCCTGCTAAGTCGCTCCGCGTTCGATAATGCACGTCTCGGGTGCTAGAACTGAAGCAACGCCGGGGCGAGACAGCCTCGGGGCAACTGGTGACCTGCTGTCCTCCCAGTCCCTCAGTTTCCAGAGCTGTGGTCAGCCTCGCCGAGCCTCCCGACCTTGTGACTCACTGTCACGGGAATGGATACAGCAGTTAACTTGGAAGGCTGCGGGGTGGGGAGGGAGTGTCTTGCCGCAAAGCTTTGATCTGGGGTGTTCTAAGGGTCGCCCGCCTGCCAGCCGCACACTCTTGCGGCATTCACGATGCCTCTTCAAAAAACCCAGAGCGCCCTGAAACACTAAAGGGTTTGATTCCCTAAGGGTGCGGCGCCGTGATTGGAGGGATGTGGGTGGGAGAGAACCCGGGCTTCGAGGAAAATCGTGGTGGAGTTTAAAAGCCTCTGTGCTTCTGCAGATATTTAGAAAAGGCGGGCAATAGTGATGCTATGTTATGAGCCTTAAGGACAGCTGAAGTCCTTAAGGTCCCTGAAAACGGCTAAAGTATAAATAAATAAATAAATAAATAAATGCCTCTGTGATAGGTAAGGGATTAAGCAAGACAAAAAGTGCAATTACGTTACCTCTTAGGCTAACTTGTGTCAAACAGTATCTGTTATAGTATCTTTTCACAATGAAATACACATTATTACATAGGTAACTGGTTTATTTATAAGAATATAGAGCTAGCGGTGTGGTGGTGGCGCACGTCTTTAATCCCAGCACTCGGGAGGCAGACACAGGACTGTGAGTTCGAGGCCAGCTTGGTTTACTGATCGAGTTCCAGGACAGGCTCCAAAGCTACAGAGAAACCCTGTCTCAAAACAAAAAAAAAAAAAAAAACAAGCAAAAAAAGAATACAAAATAATACCGAGCCTTTGAAGACACTCTGACAATCCAAGGAAACTAAAAGTTCTGGGTGGTTTCGTGCTCGAGGAAACTATAAGGTCCAGTGAGAAAAGAAAATAGGAACCAGACATGCCTTGTGAACCAAATGAAACTTGCTTTTTTTATGTCCTGGGTTCCATTTCTGCCACAAGGAGACTGAGTCTGCCTAATGCCTTTCTATGAGTAAATGCCATTGATGCTGAGGTCGAATAGTGTATTAAAGATGAAGGCACCCTATGGGAGGAGGTGGAAATTTTTAATTAATAAATAAATGCCGGGCGGTGGTGGCACACGCCTTTAATCCCAGCACTTGGGAGGCAGAGGCAGGCGGATCTCTGTGAGTTCGAGACCAGCCTGGTCTACTAGAGCTAGTTCCAGGACAGGCTCCAAAACCACAGAGAAACCCTGTCTCGAAAAACCAAATAAATAAATAAATAATAAATAAATAAATATGAAGGCCCCGTATGCGTAAATTCCTGCCCTGTCTTAGGCATCGCTTTTTACCGAACTTTCCATTTTGATGTGTAAAAATGGAATTTATTTGTTTAAGAATTGCAGAGAAAAGAAGCGAAGAGACAGGCTGGGATTCAAACTTTTGTCCGCTGCATTCCAAAACCCTTGGACCTTTTCTCCATTGTGCCACTACTTGAAAAGGAAAAAAAAACTCTTGGGAGCTTGAAGTCCTTTCTCTGAGCCAAAGGAATGATTGCTAGTTGAGGCGCCCCCTGGTGGTCCGTCCATCTTTTCTCCTACGGAAGTAATCTCCCTCAAGGCTCCTTTAAAGCCTAAACCCGCCCCGTTCGCGACGCGTGAATATCGGAGTCTGATTGGAGGGGCGGTGGCTGGAGGCGGGACACTGGAGAGCGCATCGGTCCCTATTGGCTGGAGAAGGTCAGGGGACACTTCCGGGAATGTTTGCGCTCCCGCGTTCCACTCCGCAGCATCCGGGGGCAGCTAGCCCCCTGGCTCCCCCTGCGGGTGGCTTGGCGGTGTGCACGGTCCCGCCTGCCGGCTGGGTGGGTAGTGGGCTGTGGGTGGGGAGGGGATGGTCCGAGTTCTGGGTGTGGGATGAGGGTTCAGGAAGATCTGCGGAGTAAGTTTCTGGTCCCTGGCTCTGCACCGAGTTCTCTAGGAGTCTCCTTTAGCCTCCCTGCTTCGGAGCGTGAGACTAAAAGCATCCTGACCGAGGGAGGGCCAGCCCCTAAGCATCTTATCCAGAGATCTCTGAGTTCTGATCTTGAAGTACGAGGCCCCCAGGGAAGTTCGTTTCTCACCTCCTAGAAGGGTTAGAGAAGGACCAAGGCTGCCGGATCCCCGCCTGGTGTGGTGGGTAGGCCAAGCGGGAGCATGGGGACGAAGGCTCCAGACCTTGAGCCTTCATCTCCCGTTTCCACTTCCAGCGGGGTGCCGCGGTTCGGGAAGCATGACGACCGAGACCTTCGTGAAGGATATCAAGCCCGGGCTCAAGAACCTGAACCTCATCTTCATTGTACTGGAGACAGGTGGCTTTGCATGCGCAGTGGACTCGGGGGGTGGGGGGAGCAAATGGGGAGGAGCATGGAGAGTTGGGGCACACGGGACCACCGCCTGCGTTCTGAACTTGTTGCCTGCACTGGGAGGAGACTCCCCAAGGCCCTCTAATCCCTCAGACCTGCTGGCACAGGAGCTAGCTGCCCGTGGGAAGAGAGTAACCAGAACTCTAGATAGCCTAATGCCTCAAGAGCCACGCGGGCCTTTTCCACTCAGGGTTCTCTCCATGGTGCTGGACCCTCCTGTCTCACCCCACACCCACGCATAACCTCCTGCCCCAAGGAGGGATATGAGCTTTGCTTAGCGTCTACACTTTCACCTCACTCAAACAATACCCAGACTTCCGCTACCACCACACCACTTGTAGGACTTTAATTCGACCCCCATGTATTTCTTCCCTCAAAGGCCGAGTGACTAAGACCAAGGACGGGCACGAGGTTCGGACCTGTAAAGTAGCAGACAAAACGGGCAGCATCAATATCTCCGTGTGGGACGATGTGGGCAACCTAATCCAGCCTGGCGACATTATCCGACTCACCAAAGGGTAAGTCAAGGCTCCTAGCAGCAACAGCTGGAGGGTGTGGTTAAAAGTCGCTACGCTTTTCTCAAGACTGAATCCTGCTTGCCCCCACTCCACCCCACAGGTATGCTTCCGTGTTCAAGGGTTGCCTGACACTATACACCGGCCGTGGGGGCGATCTGCAGAAGATTGGCGAGTAAGTTCTGCCTTGGGAATTTGGGTAAGCACTAGCTGCTCCAGTCAGAAAGTTACGGTTTCCCAGAAGGCATTGCAGACAAGCCTGTGCAGGCCACACACCTCAGGGCCGGATTTGTCTGTGGCCCAAAAGATGGCTCCAAGGCTTTGGCTTCTTTCCTTGCAGATTCTGCATGGTTTATTCCGAAGTTCCTAATTTCAGTGAGCCCAGTCCAGAATATAACACTCAGCAGGCGCCCAACAAATCGGTGAGTCCCCGGTCTGGAGAAGAGGTGCAAATCAGCGTGGTGCTGAGGAGGGTCTGAGTGTGTGACCGACCAGCCTGTCAATCTGTGCTTTCAGGTGCAAAATGACAGTGGCCCTGCTGCCCCGCCAGCTACCACAGGACCCCCTGCTGCCTCTCCAGGTAAATAAGTACATTTCTTTCTGCCCACCTGTCCCTTCTCTCAAGGCTACCGTCTACCACGTGGGTCTCCCTGTGCCTTCATTTGCATACCTCCTCAGTAGTATTAAGATGTGGAGCCTGGTCCCATCCACGGACGACAGAGCTACAGGGCTCTCTCCTTTTGTCACGAGTCAAAAATAAAAGGGAAATGCTTTCTCCACAGTTGCCAGTGACTATTGAGAGCAAACAAGTTTATATGGACCATATTTAAAATATTCTTGTAATAAGTCCATATATACACACTCATATATATAAATATATAGTCACAAATTACTAAGTGATGGGACTATATTCAGAGAAAGAGTTACATACACACATCCCTTGATTGTGTGGCCTACTACCTCCCTAAGCTATGTGGCATGACCTATGGTTTTCTTTTTAGTTTGTCGTTTTCCTTCCTTTTTCTTTTTCTTTCTTTTAATACAAGGTAGGCCAGGCTGGCCCAAATTCACAAAGAATTCCCTGCTTAGGTCTCACTAAGGGATTAAAGGCATATGCTACAATTTTAAAAATCATTATATTGTTATTTAAGTTTTCATGAGCATAATCCCAGCACCAGGGAGATGAGACCAAAGAATTGTCACAAGTGCCTAGCAGTGGTGGCGCACACCTTTAATCCCACACTTGGGAGGCAGAGGCAGGTGGATCTCAGAGTTCAAGGCCTGCCTGGTCTACAGAATGAGTTCCAGGACAGCCAGAGCTACATAGAGAAACCCTATGTTGAAGAAACAAAAACTAAACAGAAAACAAAAAGAACGGTAAATACTTACGCAGTAACATATGATCACATGGTAACTGATTATAAGGGATATGATCCATAACTGTGTGCTGCGCCTTTTTAAGGCCCACCGCTCTTCAGGCTGCTTTAGCCGCATCACTGCAAACACATCCTGTTGCCTTACGCTGCAACTGCTCTGGCTGCAGTAGCAGTAGGCAATGGGAAGGTCACAGAGCTAGTTCCAGGTCAGCCAGGACTACACAGAAAAGCCCTGTCTCGAAAAGAAAAAAAGTGATATTTTTTAATCTATTTTTACTTTATATGTATGTTTTGCCTACATGTATGTCTGTACCACATGCATGCAATGCCCAAGGAGGCCAGAAGAGGGTCATAGATCCACTGAAACTAGAGTTACAGGTGGTTGTTAGCTGCAGTGTGGATGCTAGGAGCCAAACCTGGGTCAGCTGGAAAAGTAGCCAGTGCCTAAGCCATTTGTGGCTGTCTTGCTCTGTCTGGCTGTTGCTGACTGAGACCAAAGGCTATGTATCCAATCACAAGCAAAGAGACTGAATTTGTGCTTTCATGCTGGAGTTCAGCTCTTAGAATGGGCCACCCAAGCCCGGCAAAGCAGTCTACACCCTTAATCCCATCTCTTGTGAGTTACCAACAGGTGCGTCTCTGTGAGTTCAAGGCCAGCCTGTTCTACTTAGCAAGTTCCAGGACAGTCAGGGCTCAAACAAACAAACAAACAAACAAAAAAAAAAAGAGCCACCCACAGTGGACTGAGTCTTCCCATGTGATTAAGTTAATTATAGTCCCTGGCAGACAGTCCCTCATTTGATATGTGACTGTATATATCACCTACTGGTTCTGGCTTTGTGGAGAACCTCCAATGGTATAATACAAATCGATGCTATTTCATCACACTATAAAAATTAGCATCTGCGGTGGCACATGCATTTAATCCCAGCACTCGGGTACAGAGGCAGGTGGATCTCTGTGAGTTTGAGGCCAACATGGTCTACAAAGTGAGTTCCAGGACATCCAGGGCTGTTACACAGAGACACCCTGTCTCAAACACACACACAATCAGCATCTCTGTTTTCAGTTGAAAATGACTTAAGGGCTAGAGAGATGGCTTGTTGGTTTAGAGCACTGGCTGCCCGTGTAGAGGACCTGATTTGGTTCCCAGCACTCTTTCATGGCAGTTCTAGTTCCAGGAGATCCAGCACAATTTTTGGCCTTATGTTTCCTGGTCAGCTAATGTGGGCACTCATGTGGACGTCAGAGGACAGCCTGTGGGTGTCAGTTCTCCTACTGTGTGGGTTCCGGGGACAGAACTCAAGCCATCAGGTTTGGCAGCCGCTGTCCTTATCCTCTGAGCCATCTTGCCAGCCTCATGACAGTATTGTAGTAGTGGTGATGGTGGCTGTTTTAAAATAGGTCTCATGTAGCCCCGGCTGACCTCCAACTGCTAGGTAAGGCCTAGAACTCCTAATCTCCCTGGTGTGTGTGTTGGGGGGTTGCAGGTAGGGGGCTCCATGCTCAGTGTCGTGCTAGGGGTCAGCCCCAGTGATTTGTGATCGCCAGGCATCTTAGTTCCCCTCTGTTGTCATAAGTTATCCTGGCAGCTAGCAGTGCAGGGGAGGAAGGACTTTCTAGTTCACAGTTCCAGGTTACATGTAGTCCATCAGTGAACAGAAAACAGAAACAGCTGGCCACATGATGTGCACGGTCAGGAGCAGAGAAATGGTGCTACCCACAGTGGGCTGGGTCTTCCCACATCATTAATTACAATCTCCCATAGACATGCCCTCAGGCCAACCAACGTAGATGTCCTTCTTGCCTCTTGCCATCCTCCCAGGTGATTCTAGGCTGTCAAGTTGGTATCATAAGAAACCATCACACAGGGGCTGGAGAGATGGCTCAGTGGTTAAGAGCATTGCCTGCTCTTCCAAAGGTCCTGAGTTCAATTCCCAGCAACCACATGGTGGCTCACAACCATCTGTAAAGAGGTTGCCTGCTCTTCCTGTAAAGAGGTCGGGTGCCCTCTTCTGGCCTGCAGACATGCACACAGACAGAATATTGTATGCATAATAAATAAATTAAAAAGAAAAAAGAAACCATCACACATGCTGGGCGGTGGTGGTGCACACCTTTAATCCCAGCACTCGGGAGGCAGAGGCAGGCGGATCTTTGTGAGTTCAAAGCCAGCCTAGGGAAGGGCGGTGACGATATAGTAACTGGTGTTTCATCATCTCACATTTGTGACTCCATTTAAATATTTAAAATATAGAAGTGTTGGGATCAGCAAGATGGTTCAGGAGCTACTCGACATCAAGCCTGACAACCTGAGTTCAATCCCCAGTGCATCCACATGGTAGACTTCTGAAAGTCGTATGCATGTACACACACACACACACACACACACACACACGGGCGTACACACAGTAAATACGGAATATATGTGGGGGGACAGGATGTGATGAACAGCTAAGAGGCTCCTCAGTGGTAGAGGGATTTTCACTGAACAGAAACCTCAGCCCTTCTGCCCATGCTGCTCCATTTACAATCACCTTGGGCCTTAGGACATTTTTTCAGAGCCTTGAACCCAACAGCTAATTCCAGGTGTGATTCCCAAAGAACATATACCAGAGTTCATGTAGCGGGTCCCAAAGCTACCAAAGGGTCCCATTTGTATCTGTAGTCTGTTGCTTACTGCACTCGCTATTTATTCAGAACTGCCTGCCTAGGGGATGGCGCCACCCACAGTGGACGGGGTCTTCCCACAGTATTAATTACAGTCCCCTATATACACACCCAACAATGTAGACAGTCCCTCACTGACACTTCCCAGGAGACTCTAGGTTGTGTCAAGCTGACAGTTAAAATTATCAAGCCTTCCCTGTCATGATGGTCATGGACTTACCCGCTGAACTGGAAACCCCAATAAACTTTTATTTATAAAAAAAAAAATGAGGCTAGGGCCCCATTCATCTTCACGACAGTCTTTTTATGCTTGGTCAGCACTCAGACAGCTGTGCGTGACGACCCATCCACTTGCGGGGCGTGGAAGTAGGCCTTGAGGATGGGCTCTTACCTAAACTAATTCTGTGTTTCTTCTCCTACGACCAGCTTCTGAGAGCCAGAATGGGAATGGACTGAGCACCCCACCAGGCCCCGGTGGTGGCCCCCACCCCTCTCACACTCCCTCACATCCTCCCAGCACCCGAATCACTCGAAGCCAACCCAACCACACACCTTCTGGCCTTCCCGGCCCCTCCAGCAACCCTGTCAGCAATGGCAAAGAAACCCGCAGGAGCAGCAAGAGGTAACAAGAAATGAGTCCTCTCCTTCCGCCACGACCTCGACCCACGCACCTCTGCCAGAGAACAAGACAGTCTTCTACTGGGCTGCTGGCTTTGAGACTGGAGGGTGGAGTCGATTGTATTTCAGCCACTACGTTTCTTTGAGGGGTGCTGAGCAGTGGCCTTGTGCACCTCAAGCTCATGCCTTCCATGTCCTGCTGACGCTGCCCGTCCCCTGGGATCCAGGGCCCTCTGCCTGCCCTCCTTCCTCTGGAAAAGACAGTCTGCTTTTTTGTGTGGGATATGAGGGTCTAACTGAAAACCCTCCTTCCTAATAAATGTACCCACTCTCTTCTGGACTCCTTTGTTCTGTTTTTTTTGTTTTTTGTTTGTAGGAAAAGCAGTTAGTTAGCAAGTGTGCTCTTAGGGAGTGTGGCGCCCAGGCAAGGAAGCCTTAGGCAAAGCAAGCCTGCCCCTTTAAGGTAGTGTCCCTCCCCTACCCCCTCCCTGCAGGTGACCCTTGTCCAGCCTTGCCTGCCACAAGAAGGCTGGGTGCCCCTTCCTCTGGTGTCCCGTCTCCTGGCCTGCTGTCAGGTAATGCCAGCCTTAACCCCCTCCCCCGGCCAATCACTCTAATCAGACTTTGATCCCCTGATCTCAGGCCAGGTCAGATGTCAGAAGGGAGCCAGCCCTGTTCTGGTTTCTTTTCCTCAACAGGGTTTCCCCTTTTTCGGTCACTGATTCCAGAGTCGTGAGTGCGGGCAGGTAGCACTTGCTGAATTGGGGAATTGCTGGGAGCGGTTTCTGCCCTGAGCGCATCTGCGATTGCTACTTACCTGCCTCTCCCCCACCCTCAGTTTAGGGGCACCTTGGTTCAACTTTCCAGGGAAGGAGGGGATGGGGTTGGAAACAGAGGAAGCTCAGTACCTCACGTAAGGTACCTGGGGAGGGGTGTTTTCAGAAGGCTTGGTGGTACTGAATATATAAGCTATAAATATTTAAGAGGAAAAATCTGAGAACCCATGTTCCTAACCATGTGGCTTCCTTAGGGCAGGTGGTGGCCCCTCCCCAGTCAGGACGACTTTTGACCTCCTCATCCCAGAGACCAGTGAACCATTAACTCCTATATGAACCTTCCCACACTTGCCCCACCCCTAACTCCGCCCCAAAGCAGCTGGGAAGAGGGGACCTATCCATTTCAGCCCTGTGACAGGACTTCCATTGCATCTGAAGGCTGACTCAGGAATCTCTTAAAGTCCACAGTGAGAACTTCCAGGGACCTGCGGTGACACCTCTCACACTGCCAGCAGGGGTGAGGCCCTGTGTATTGAGGGGGAATAGGGAGGTGGAGCCAAGTGAGAGGTGGGTCTGGGGGAATCTGAGATGTTGGTCGACTCTGGACCAGATGGAGGGAGAACGCCAGTCAGGAGGCTGCTGCAGAAGGCAGAGGAAAGGACAGGAAGCCTGAGCCTGCAGAGCCTGCTGATGGTCCCAGCTGAAGCTGCATTAAGTGCATGCAACCATTCTCCCCAGCTGAGCTGAAGAGCAGAACTGACCTGACCCCACACCCTCCTCCTTGTTCTAGGACACAATCCTCAGCATGCTCAAAGGGAAATAGAAGTCAGAACCAGAGCCTCTAACCTGTACCCCAGTGATGGGGCCCCCCGTGCACCAGCTGGTGGCTGGCCTGTGCATGGGGGTGGTCTTGGGCTGGGTAGGAGGCTCAGCCCCGAGCCTGGGCCCAGCTGAACAGGAGCAGAACCACTACCTGGCCCAGCTGTTTGGCCTGTACGGCGAGAACGGGACACTGACTGCAGGGGGCCTGGCCCGGCTTCTCCACAGCCTAGGGCTGGGCCGAGTTCAGGGGCTTCGCCTGGGACACCATGAGCCTCCAACTGGGCGGGCTGCACCCCCAAATGGCGACAATTTCACACACAGGTATTACTCTCTCTCCCAACCCCCAAAAGTCCCAGCTCCCCTCAGGGCTCTCGAATTGCCTATGGCTGGCTTCTTGAGTCCTCAAGCGCCCAACCACTCCATATCCTTGAAGGTCTTGCTAACCTTTTCATTCTCCCCTCCAGATCCTTAGGTCCATAAAGTCCTTGCTCTTGGTCTTAATACGCACATCTCCAGGCTTCTCCACCCCAGGCCCACAGCTACCCATTCTAGGCTCTCCTGTAAATGACAGCTCTCAGACTTTCCTGGGACTATGGCTGTCTCTCCTTCACAAAAGCTCTCAGGAGACTCTCAGAGCAGATGTCTGGGAATTTAGGGAACCTGACTCTTAATCCATCTAATCTAGACTACAGGAACCGGAGCTGAGTGTTCATGTCTGGGCAGGAATGCCTCTGAGTCCTTCAGGCTGGGATGACCTGGAGGAGTCAAAAGCCCCTGACCTGCCCCACGAGCCAGGGCCCTCGGGCCTAGACCTCTTTCACAGGCTTCTGCTGCTGGACCATTCTTTGGCTGACCACCTGAATGAAGATGTAAGTGTGATTGGCCGCTAGAGAGGGAGCAGGAGCCACGGGACTAGGTGGCCTCAAGTGTCTGCAGTCAGTAATTGTTAGGATACGTTATTCTAATAGTGAAGGATATCTCCTCTGACCAAACTGCCACACTTAGCTCACACATACAATCCAGAGAAGTATCTCAGGGTAGGTCGGTGATGTGGAGAGTCCCGGAGATGACAGCCCCGTCTATCTAGAAAGTCATTTTTCTCCTTGTTCCACATATACAAGGCAAAGCTGTCAGAGCCTGAGATCAGTTGTCACGCCCCATCAAAAGCAGCACCTGGCCTAGGCTGGATCAACGCATGACAGGGATGTTGACTAAAGATGTCAGGTTCCTTTCCCTTAGAGGATTCTGGTGTGGTGGGCTCTAGTCTAGACGCCAAAACAGCTCCATCTCTAGAGCAAGGAAACTGCCAGAGCATGAGGGGGAAACGACAGCAGTACCCACTGTTGCCTACTAGGACTGAACCCTCACCAGTGACTAACAGACATTAGTTATTAAGTTCCCTTATCTGCCCCCCCCCCCCCCCCGTCTCTAATGCATGTGCCAGTGTGAGCCAAGGGGATCCTGAGAGAACTGGGACTTCTTGGCTGTAGTTCACTGTGACTCCCTAATACACAGTCCTCTCCTCAATCCCAGTGTCTGAATGGTTCCCAGCTGCTGGTCAACTTTGGCCTGAACCCTGTTGCTCCTCTGACCCCTCGTCAGTTTGCTCTGCTATGCCCAGCTCTGCTTTACCAGATTGACAGCCGTGTTTGCATCAAGACTGCAGCTCCAGCACCTCCAGGAGACGTACTGTCTGGTCAGTGAGTGACCAAGTCCCTCGCTAAGAAAAGGGGCTCACTGGGGTCCACCCTCTCCTTGGTGTCTCTGCCCATATGGTGCCTCTGGGCCAGCCCTGGCCTGACATTAGCCCCAATTCTTCCTTCCCAGCTCTGCTTCACAGTGCCCTGGCGGTCCTGCTGCTCAGCCTCCCTGCTCCCCTCTCCCTGCTGCTGCTGAGGCTCCTGGGACCTCGTCTGCTGCAGCCTGTGCTAGGCTTCCTGGGGGCCCTGGCCGTGGGCACTCTTTGTGGAGATGCATTGCTACACCTGTTGCCTCACGTACGTGAAACTCCATCTTCATACCCTGACCCAGTGGCAGTTAGCTAACCTCCAGGGATCCTTGTGCTCCTAGCCATAGGATTCCCTCCCCAGGTACTTTCTGTTAGCTTCCACATCCTAACCCCCCCTCCCTCCCCCCCCCCCCGGCTTCAGCCACACTGCCTTCTACTGGGATATGAGTAAAGCTTGCTACCCCTTCACTGGGAGAAGGGGATGCTATGGGGTGGGGGGGTGTCCCAGGGTCTGCCCTGACCTACTTTCTGACAGGCGCAAGGAGGGCAGCACACAGGACCTAATACCTACTTTCTGACAGGCACGAGAAGGGCAGCACACAGGAACTAATGAGCAACCAGAGGACCTGGGTCCGGGGCTGTCAGTGCTTGGTGGCCTCTTCCTGCTCTTCGTGCTAGAGAACGTGCTAGGACTGGTGCGGCACCAAGGGCTCAGGCCAGTGAGTGACACCTTTTCTACTCCTGCTAAACCCAGCGTCCTAGCGGAGCCAGGAGCAGGGCGACATGTGCTCCTGGGCCTTGGCTTGCTTGACCAAAACTGCATAGGACTTGTCCGCTACTGAGTGGGTACGGGTTTCTTAGCATAGACCCAGGACTTCTGGCCAAATGGCATTTTCTGTGGTTCATATCAACAGTCAACAGAGGGAAATGCCAGCCTGGGAAAGGGAGGAGGTCAAAAAGCATTCTCCAGGTGCTGGAGGTGGAACCAGGTGTTCATTTTCCCAGCTGCTGGCCCAGTTTCCCCTTAGCCCCTGGCTCTGCTGCCTCCTCCACCAGGAGGGATGCCCTCCCATTTCAGAGATGCTGCAGGCACAAAAGGGATCTTGGAGAATCGAACCTTGACCCAGAGGATGGCAGTGGGATGGTCCTTCGACCCCTACAGGCAGCTCCAGGTGACTAGAAGAAAACATGAGTACACTACCAACCTGTGGTTCCCACTTGCAGTTAACTAACACGTGTCCCGGTCCTTCTTACTGCAGAGCCAGAGGTTCAGGGCCAGAGGGAGATCAGCCAGTCCCCACCAGCTCCAGCCCCTCCTGGGCACCGAGGCCACAGTCATGAGCACCAGGGTGGCAGCGGCACCAACATTGCATGGATGGTTCTCCTGGGAGACGGCCTGCACAACCTCACGGACGGGCTCGCATTAGGTGTGCAGTCACGGGAGCAGAGGGGGGAGAGGGTGCCAGGAAGGTGCGAGAGGTGAGGGAACCAGAGGGAGGGCAGACAGCAACTCCCGTCTTCAAGAACACCCTTGGATTCTGCCGTGCCAGGTGCTGCCTTCTCTGCCGGCTTCTCCAGCGGCCTTAGCACCACCCTGGCGGTCTTCTGCCACGAGCTGCCCCATGAACTGGGTAGGAATGGCAAGGGGGGGGGGGGGGCAGGTGGGGCAGAAAGGAGACCTCCGCAGAGTGGAGCTCAGAGGTAGACACAAGTGAGGGGCAGCCCGACTCACCCTCCTCTCCTATCCCCCAACAGGTGACTTTGCCATGCTGCTTCAGGCAGGGCTGTCCTTCCGGAGGCTGCTGTTGCTGAGCCTCGTTTCTGGAGCCCTGGGACTGGGGGGTGCAGCCCTTGGGGTGGGGCTCAGTTTGGGCCCTGTCCCCCTCACTCCCTGGGTGTTTGGGGTCACAGCTGGGGTCTTCCTCTACGTGGCCCTTGTGGATATGGTGAGACGTGGGATAGGACAGACAATTCAAGGATAGTGGGTAGGTGGGCGTGGGGGAGAGGAAGTGCTAGCTCATCCTTCACTTTGAGGTCTGGAGAGGATGGCGCAGGGCCCCATCAGAAGTATCCAAAGGTGGGGGCACAGGATGGGGGCAGGCTTGGTGGCATACACCTTTAATCCCACTATTCACTCAGGAGGCAGCCTGGTCTACAGAGTACTGTAGGCCAGCAGGGTTAAACAGTGAGCTCTTACCTCAGAAGTAAACAAGTATGTCACAGGTAAGAGCAGAGATCTGACAGTCTCCTTCCTTCCAGCTGCCAGCCCTGCTCCGGCCTCCTGAGCCCCTGCCTGTGCTCCACATCCTCCTGCAGGGGCTGGGTCTGCTGCTGGGGGGCAGCCTCATGCTTACTATAGCCCTGCTGGAGGAACAGCTACTGCCCGTGGTTCCTGATGGCTGATGGGGGCCAGTGGCAAAGGATCCAGATTGCCCTTCCTTCCCCCCAACCACAGGAACGGAGGCCGGACACAGGGCCAGTAGGAGCAATAGGATTTTAATAAACAGAACCCATCCCAAAGCCATGACTACGACAGTTGTACTTGCACCAAAACAGCATAGAAAACCAGGGTGTGGTGGGAGGGCTCAAAGCAGGTTGGGGGAGGACAAGAGTGGGGGCCTGGAGAATGTGGGGTGCATCAGTCTTCAGGGATAGCATTGTGCTTTAGCCCAGGTAGGAGGGGGAGGGGCAGGGCAAATGCACCAAGGTTCCCGTTTGTGTTTTTTCTGCTGCCCTCAGCACCCTGGGGTGCAGGTATCTGGGCTTTATTGCTGCCCACCAGCATTAAACACCCCTGACCCCAACACTAGCACCACAGGTGGATCCGGGATAGGGGGAAGGGCAGGAATGGGGAAATTGCTTAGAGAAAGATTCAACTAGAATCCAGTGAATTGTGCTCAGTTCTCTTTACTTCCTACAACCGAGTACATGGGTCACAGGGTGGAGCGTGCGGCAGGACATGGAACATGCCCCTCCGTGCCCAACACACCTGCACACAGGATGGTGGTGTCTGCAGCATCACAGGTCATGCAGGGCATGGGGAAGGGGAGGTTCACACACACATAGTTGCCCACAGTGGGTACCAGACAGAGAACACCCCTGAATATACACAGCTGTACATGGGGAACCCCAGGTCCCCACCCAACCCTCTCCCCTGTCTTGCTGTTCCCCAGCAGGGGAACTGTATTGCTTTGAGAGAGCCACCCTGGGGCTGCTCTGCCAGGCACCCTCCCCTCCCACCCACCCCTATTTTGGCACATCTGCAAGACACACGGCAGCGAGAGTAGGCACCCTCCCTCCCAGGCTTCTGTGGCTTGGAGTTGGGGAAGGGGGTAGGAGATACCATCCTCCATGTTTCCCCTAGCCCTTCCCAAACCCCTGCCAGACCCACTCCAGCCAAACCCACCCACCCCCGAAACACACACACACTCACACACACAGCTGAGCTATCCAGGAATACGAGTGAACAAGATTGTCCAGGATGGGAGCAGAGGCGGGAGGAAGGACTGGAAGCAGAGACCCCACCCTGGCATGGGTTAGACTGGCACAAGAGCTACTTTAGTGCAACTGGAGGGGCGCCCAGAGCGAGGTGGGAACAAGAGGGCCCAGGGGGGGTCCTCTCGTCACCCGCCATCCTCTGCCCTCCCAAATGCAGTGACAGTGTCCCCCTCACACCTACGTGGGCAACAGCAGCCTCAGAGTCAGTACCTTCAAGTAAAAGAGCAGACCCTCCCCACCCCAACCCCTCCCATCTCTGGGAATTTGGTCGCTTCTCTACAGGGCTGGGTTGGGAGGAGAAGCCCCAAGTCAAACCCTTCTTCTCTACCTCCCTCCTCCCCGGCCACTGGGCTGGTCCTCAAAGACTCCTTCCTCTGTCCTCGCCCAGGCTGGGTACAGGCCCAGAGGGTTGGAGCCACACAGAAGGAAGAGGCTGCATTGCTCCCTGCCCCTCCCCAAAGGTAGGGTTCAGACTTGGCAGGAGGGATGGATGGCCATACTGGCTTGCCCCGGGAGCAGGGCTAGGGTCTGTAAGGCTATTTTCCTTTGCGGTGGGAGGGGGGCAGGGAATGAGCACTGGGTGTGGGAGAGGGTGAGAAACAGCTGAATGGGAAGGAGGAAGAGGAGGAAGGGGCCTCCCCGCTGGAGCATAGTTACCGGAGTCATTTCAGCAAAGAAACGCTCGTGTGCATAAGATACACAGTGTGCGCATTCCCAGCCTGCCAACCTGGCCCCACCCCACCTCTCGGGACCCCTTCCAAGACCACAGAGAGGGTTTTGGGGGTACAGTTGTAGAACCACCCCCATCCCCAGCCTCTTCTCCCCTCTGGTCCGGGAGGAGGAGGAGCTCGGCTGGCGGACAGCGGTGGAAGCGGTATTGTTTTCCTTTGGTTACATATTGAAGGCAAAGGTGAGCTGGACTTACAGTCAACACGGACAGGGTGAGGAAGGAAGAGGGGCCATGGCTGGGGTCAGAGAGGGAGGCGGCCCTCCTCAGCCCCTCCACCCCAAGGAACACATGTCTACATGGGGTGGCAGTCCCTCAGTCTCATGTCTCCCACCCCCCACAGCACCAAACAAAAGGAGAAGCCCCCTCCCCCAAGGGCTACTCCCCACCCCAACCTGGGCTGTACATTCAGTGGTTTTCAGCAGTCCTATGGCTCAGGGGGCCACGGGGTGGGGGAGGTGGCCCACCAATCTTAGAGTCTCAGTTGGACAGTGGCAGTGACCTGGGTCTGTGGTCCATCCCAGGACCCACAGTTTGTGCCATTTGTTTTTTCTGAAGGATGGTACACAACCCTACAAAAGCCACCGCCCAATCAGAAACATCCCCCTAAAATCGGAAACTAAAAACTGGCTCTTCTCATGTCGCCCCGACTCACGCGTCTGTTTCCCTGTCTCCTATGTAGCCCCGCTCGGCTCCTGTGCTGGGACCTCGGGCTGCCCCGGGCCTCATGTAAAATGGGTCTTTTCACAAAAGTGCTTATTACTCGATGCAAGTGCTTTAGAGCTGCGGTGGGGGGAGGGGAGGGGAAGAGGAGAGGGAAGGGGGTGTTCCCTCCCCACCTGACCCCCTTAAGATTGGGGGGCATTCTGCCTGTTTTACTTCTCCACACCCGTTTAAGTCAAAGAGGTTTAAAACAAAATCTTAACATGACAATAAATATGCAGTGGCCATGAGGATGGTCAGAATGCTTCAGAGACAGCAGCGGCGGGGAGCCGGGGGTGCGGGATTTCCTTTGGCATAAGGAGAGGAGGCTGCTGGCCCTCCAGGCCCCCTCACACCACATGAGGGACAGAGGGCTCCCTGTCATATTCCCAGCACTGCTGACTCTGTGCTCAGGACAGCAGGGAACAGACAGCCACCAGAAATCTCATCTAGCAAAACCAAACAATGGGGCTCCTGACAAACGCTCAGTCAGGTTCCTTCTGTCATCGTCAAGCAGTGATAAAGGAGAACACGACTGATGCCCCAAGTCATCCCCAGGGGAACCATTTCCCTGCTCCCCATGCCCCCACCACCTAATTCCCAGCACCAAGATGAAAGGGAGGGGGTGAAATGGGAAGGTTTTAGGGAAGAGAATCAAAGTTAGGGGCAAGCTATGCAGAACCAGCAGGGTGGGGGTGGGGGCGGCAGCCCTTAAGAGAGGTCACATTGATTGTCGTCTAGGGAAGGAGAGGGCATGAAGGGATGTGGGCAAGAGGGGCATTGCAAGGCCCTTTGGCTTTGAAAACAAAAATAAAAACTAAAAGCTGCACAATCCTTCTCACCAATATGGTCACGCGGAAGCCTTGAAATGGTTTAGGATCTGAGGTGGGGTAGCAAGACACAGAGAGATAAACAGGGACCACAGAAAGGAAAGTCGAACACCCCAGGCTTCTGGGAACCAGCGTGAGGTATGGTGCAGGGTGTCTGTAGGGGGAAGGGCTCCCTGGGACAGCCCCTCTCCCATCAGCTCACCCTCGGCAAGGGTGGCAAGACATTCAAGGGACACAACTGAGAAACGGGTAAGAATGTGAGTAGAGCGAGCGGGGTAGGGAAGGAGGTGGAGGGGTCCCTGGGAGAGACCCCTGGACTGTGTAAACGAAGCCCATCCAGTTCTCAGTTCTCAGGGGGCAATACTGATGGCAGCCAAACTGGGCAAGGATGCACGGTGGGGGAGAGGGGCAGGACCTCTATTCAAGTTCTGTGTCTTGGCCCCTGGCTGAGGTATTGCGTGTGAGGAAAGGTCACTGGGTTACGGGACTGGGTCCGACTGTGCAGAGGCTCACTACGGAGATGAATGGACAGGGCATCTGAAGGGACCAGGGCCAGACGCAATGCTACATTTAAAGAGAGCACCGCCCCTTCTCGTTCCAGCCCAGTTTGGCTTCTCAGGTACATTCCAGGAATCGTATTCGTGCAATGCCTACTCAACCCCATCTCTCCCCATGCTAGGAAGGCAGGGACTGAGCCTCAAGGTCCATCTGTTGCTCCCTTGACCAGTGCTTTCCCTCACTGGAGGAGGCCCTAACAAGCAGGCCCTACACTGCCCCTGCCCTTCCCACCATCTTTGGCTTCATATCAGGAGCGACTGGGGCAGTGGGTACTCTCAGACATGACAGAAGGTGGAGACAGGGGCATGGAGGAACTCTGGGACTGGGGGACACAGGAGGAAGAAATGGTCCCTACCTCCACTCACATGCAAACACATGCCTGAAACACAGAGGACATACTAGGGCTGTACTTTTGAAATGGGCAGGATATTAATTTGTTTCTTCCCCTAAAGAATAAAATGCTTACTTAAAAATTCATGACAAGCCTCAGAATTCAGGGAGAAGAGAGCCAAGGAGGGAATGGCCACAGGCTCCCCTCCCCGAAAAGAAGTTAAAAGAAAGAAGCAAGGTTAAAGTGCGTGGTTGGAGGCCAGGCTAGAAGTAGGGGAGGAAGCAGGCTGTGGAGGCAGAAGCAGCCCTTGGTTTGCACATGAGGAGCCAGGGGAGAACGTGGGATGAGGGCCAGGTTCAGTAGTTGCTGCTTCAAGTGTCTGCATTTGAATTTTAGGGATGATAGGATATGGGGGGAAGCTCTAGGCCCCAGTGCTAAATACCCTCCCCCCTCATCCTCTAGCTGCCCCTGAAGGGGGAGGGGGACACCCCCAGAGTGCTCACACAGTACCAGAAATTAAGGCTTCTCACTGCTGCAGGGATGGAGGGGCCAAGCAGGAAGGCAGTGATGGGTATGGAAGAAAAGGGGGAATCTGCCTGGCAGCAGGGGAAAGAGGGGGACACAGAGAGGAGAGTCAGAAGGAAGAGTTGGGGGAGCTGGCAGCAAACAGGGGAAACTGAGAGATGGAGTCAAGGAGGGGGAGCCAGGCATTTAGCAATCATTTTGGGACACTTGGCAGAAGGGGGTGCCCTGGGGGTACCAAGAGCCTGGGGTGCTCCCTGTGGGTCCCAGACCTCTGCCAGGCCAGGATGGTGTGGCAAAGGGGTAAGCAGCTGCTCCCCAGTGCTTCCTCCCCTACCCCACCGCC